TGGTAACGCACGAGCCCGGTCCCTCCGCACCTCCCCCCCCCCCCTCGCCGCTTCTCGCGAGAAGAGACGGCGCAGTTCTTCCGGTAACTGTAGACCAGCCAGACTCCCGGTTTGGCCTTAGCGCTTGGTTTCGCGCATGTGCAATAAGGAGTGGCGCGAGTCCACGACTTCCGGGCGAAGAACATGGTGCGTTCTCGGGGTAGTCTTTGTGCTTCCTGGACGTGGAGTCCACGCGGGCTTTGGGAGTTCCGCGCCTACTGATCTGCACGGGTTTCAGCCAAGGGAAGATACTGCTAGGCGTCCCATCACTTTTAGTGAAAGGGAGGAAAGAAACATTAGGGGTGACTAAAGTTTGTACTGAGGGATCCTGGGAGGGAAGCACTTTGCACTGGGGAGTTGTGAAGCGGACTGAAGGGCGGGAAGGGTACTGTAATATTCTCTATGGGATACGACTCCTGTAACTGGAACACGTTTTCCACTTGCCTGTTAAGTTTGAGCTTACCAGGAAAAAACAAAAAAAGGAAACATAAATCCCCATGTGAAACAAAACCGAATACACTGTCCTCTCCTCTTCCTCTGGTTCCTTTCTCACCATAGGTACCCGCCGTCTAATGTAAAACCTTGAACTTTATCAGTACACAAAATGGAGATCCCTGGCTTATATAAGTCCCAGTGCAGGGTTATTTAAGGTGGGACGTAATGAGAGCTTCTGCGTTAGGATGAAGAAAGAGTCTTCATGATTTACATGGCGTACGGAATATTTTCTCCCAAATTTGGGGTATATTGAGTTTTAATAATTTTTTAAAAACTACACCCTTGCTGTACTTGTGACATACCCCAAAAACAAAAGGTGGAATATTTGCAGACATAATAACCAACCCTTAAATTAGAAAAAAAAAAAAAGACATTTTTACTAACTAAAGTATTGAATTATTCTCTGAAAGAACAAGTCAGTTCTCTCTTGATTTCCCTGTGGTGCCAAAGAAGATGTAATTTAGGGTTCTCTTTACATGCAGTGAAACTAGATACATTTTTGGTTAGGTATTTTTAAAGATGAAGGAAAGAACAGTTTTTACTTCATGGAGGACACAAAAGTTTTTGTTTCTTAGATGGAAAAGTAGTTTCTTTTGACTTAATTCCTGTGATTTTACTTTGAATAGATGCAAGGAGAGGCAAGCCCTAGTGCTTCCCTTATTGACAGAACCATCAAGATGAGAAAAGAAACAGAAGCCAGAAAAGTGGTTTTAGCCTGGGGACTCCTAAATGTATCAGTGGCTGGAATGATATATACTGAAATGTAAGTTAATCAGCCAAAAAAGGTGAAAATTTAAGCAGCCAATGGTTGGTTCCATAGTATTTTGTATGTGTTTTGATTTTCGGAGTTTTTTGTTTTTTTAATTGAAAATACTTTCTAATTTTTTCAGGACTGGAAAATTGATTAGTTCATATTATAATGTGACTTACTGGCCCCTCTGGTATATTGGTAAGTAATTTCTAGTAAACAATCAAACTAATAAACAACAATACAATTTCAGGTAATTATGAGTCTGTGAAAAAATATTAAGTTTGGGGAAGTTGAAATTTATATTTGTTGGTCTCCTGAAATGCTGTCTCCACATTTTCAAGAATTAGTTCAGATTTCTACTCCACTGGATGCTTTCCTTAATTTCCTCACCCTTTCCTCTTCTTTTGTCTGCTTTTCCATAATCCTTGAGTATAAAGGGTCCCTTATAGATGTTAAAGTAAATTTCTTAGTCTGGACTCATTAGTCTACAATCTGCCATGAGAGCTGGTATGCAAAGTGAAAGAGCAAAGGATTTGGAATGTGCAGACCTAAATTAGAATCATGGCTCACTAACTAGATGTATAGTCTTATAAAAGTCATTTGGGCTGAGCATGGTAGCACATGCCTATAATCCCAGCACTTCTGGTGGCTGAAGCAGGAGAATCACAAGTTCAAAGCCACCCTCAGCAATTTAGCAAGGTTCTAAGCAACTTAGTCAGATGCTGACTCAAAATAAAATATAAAAAAAGGGCTGAGGATATGGTTCAGTGGTAAAACACCCCTGGGTTCAAGGTTCAATCCCTAAYCCCCCCCCCCACCAAAAAAAAAAAAAAAAGAATTTGGCCTCAGACTATTGATTAATGATTAGAAGGAGGGTAAAGCTATCTCTTATACAAGGTTGTAAGGATTAGTGATAGTTTGAAACTCATTGATAATCTGTATTTCATTAGCTGTTGTCAGGTACCATTAGTTTTCAATTTTGTTGTTAATGTGCTAAAATATGGAGGGTTTTTGTCCACCCCACCCATCAACATATACCTCCTCCTTTTTAAAATAAATTATTGTTCTTTTCCAGAGCTTGCCCTTGCATCTCTCTTCAGCCTTAATGCCTTATTTGATTTTTGGAGATACTTCAAATATACTGTGGCCCCAACAAGTCTTGTAGTTAGCCCTGGACAACAAACACTTTTAGGGCTAAAAACAACTGGTGAGTATATTATATCTCTTGCAGAGGTGAGAATAAGGTTAGAAATAAATCTTTTATAAGTTAATTTTTCCTTTTCATAGACTCAGAACTAGAAGGGACTTAGAAATCCTTCTGGTTCAACTATATTGAGCAGATCTATAGTAAACTGTCTTCAGACCAATGATTATTATTCCCGTTTCTATAAATTGAATGGAACTAGCATTCAGCAACGTCATGGAAGTTTGTTCCATTGTTCAATTACAATTAAATGACTAAATCTTGCATTGAAATCAATTTCTTATTTTGAACTCTGGAAAGGGTAAACAACTAATCTGTGCCCTTTAGTAATAATATTTTATATAATTTAACAACCAGATTCTTCTGTTGCTTTCTTTCTTTTCTGAAAGAGAGGTTTGAGTTTCTTAAAATCTGTTTCATTAAAAACAAAAAAAACTTTTTAAAATACATACATGTATGTGTTCGTGTGTGCGTGTGTACACGCACGTGTGCATATGCATGTGTATAAAATTTTTTTTTCTTCTCCTTCTAGTTGTACAGACTACTCCTCCACGTGATCTGGCATCTCCCCAAATCCCCCCCTCTCCACCTTCCCCTCCAATTCAGGGTCAGAGTGTATTGAGTTATAGTCCATCTCGTTCACCTAGTACCAGTCCCAAGTTCACCACCAGTTGTATGACTGGATATAGCCCTCAACTACAAGGTCTGTCCTCAGGTGGCAGTGGTTCGTACAGCCCTGGAGTGACCTACTCACCTGTCAGCACTTACAATAAGGTAATGACACTTTTCTCTTGGTCAGTCACTTTATTTTAGAATTGGGAGGTACATTGAAAATAATGTAGTCCCACCAAGCATGGTGATACATGCCTGTAATCTCAGCTGCTTGGGAAGTTGAGGCAGGAGGATTGCAAGCTTGAGTTTCAAGCTTGTTTCAAAATAAAAAGGACTGGGGATGTAGCTCAGTGGTAAAGCACCCCTAGGTTTAATCCTGATACCTAATCAAAAGATTTTTAAACAATCTCTTAATATGAAAGAGAACTAGTGGTATAGATCAGTGGTAGAGTGCTTACTTGCATACACAAGACCCTGGATTCTATCCCCACTATCACAAATGCTATTATTAATTTGCACTAAATGTCTATAAAGTTCCTGATAATTTAAAGGGAATAGGTGGCTACTCAAAAGAATTGTACCAGGTTATATTGTCACAGAAATGTTTAAGAGTATTCATTTTATCATACCTTTGATTATCAAGTTAATCAATTTTTTATAAATTTCTGATGATAAGAAAAATGAAAATAGTCTGTTGTAGCTTAATGTATATTTTTTGCWAGGTTCTCATTCTTTACCCACTTGTCTTTTGGATGTGTACCCTCTGATTTTTTCCTCCTAAGTTGGTATTGTAACTATGGGATTTTCAAAAATATACATATAGAGATTTAAAAATTTTTAATAGTCAATTCTGTTTGTCCTCTTGTGGTTTTTTTCTTTCCTAAATTTAGAAATTTTCCTTACTTCGCCAGTTGATTTTCTCCCTTTCAGTGGTGTAATTAAGGGATTTTGCTGGGTATGGTGGTGTATAGGTAAACCCAGTAACTGGAGGAGACTGAGGCAGTTAGATCAGAAGTTTGAGGGCAGCTTCTGCAACTTAGCAAGACCCGTTTCAAAATAAAGATCTAAGATGTAGTTCAGTGGTAGTGCACGCTGTTACAAGGTTCAGTCTCCAGTACCCCACACATAAACACAAACATGTACACACACAAACACAGATGAGGATTTTATTTTATTTTTTAAATATTTATTTTTTAGTTTTAGGTGGACACAATATCTTTATTTTATTTTATTTTTATGAGGTGTTGAGGATCAAACCCAGCACCTCACGCATGCCAGGCAAGCACACTACCACTTTAGCCACATCCCCAGCCCTTTATTTTTGTTTTTGCTGAAATTTATGTTGCTCCAATTTTCATACATTATTTTCATTGTCACTGACTTGTGATTTCTCATTTATATTATATGTAATCTGGGCCATCCTGTTTCCATATGTCTCTTTGGTTCTATTTTTTATATATGTATTTATTTTTAGGTTGTAGCTGGACACAATATCTTTATTTTATTTATTTATTTTTATATGGTGCTGAGGATCGAACCCAGGCCCCTGCACACCCAGGGCCCTGCACGTGGTAGGCAAGCGCTCTACCACTGAGCCATAATCCCAGCCCCTCTTTTTGATTCTTTATGTAGCAATTTCACTGTGGATTGTCTGTATTAAGAGAGTTGACCAAAAATGTCAAATGTTGCTTTTTTGCTACAAAATCAGGTACATTGCAGCTTATATTCTGTCTGTGCAAAAAAAGTAGTAGAGATGCCTCCTACCAAAACATCAATACAATGTTTGTTTTTAATGAAGCAGTCTTTTCTTGCTCACTTTTGCTACGCAATCTTTTGCAGTCATCTTTTCTGCGTTGTACATTTTACCATATACAAATTAGATAAAAAAAAATTATAAATTAAGATTTTTCACCTTATTGTCTTTCTTGTTTTAAAATCTTAAGAAGTATATCAGGAAAGTGTCATAGTAAAAGTGACAAAGTTACACTTTTGTGATGACATATCAGAAAAACAATAAGGTGGCAATGTTACCAAAGTATAACTTTAAGGGAGAATGCATTATATTGGACAAAATGTCATTTTAAATTGATGAAGGAAATGATACATTGGGAAGATACAATAGTCACAATCTTTATATGTTGAATAATATAGCATCATAAAATATAAAGCAAAGGGGCTCAGTGGTACAGCTCTTGCCTAGCACGTGCAAAGCCCTGGGTTCAATCCTCAGCACCACATAAAAATAAATAAATAGATATTTATTTAATATGTATATTATATATATTTTATAATATATTATATATTATATACATACATGTATGTATATAATATATATAAATGTATGTATATAATATATATAAAGCAGAAATATGAAGAGATTAATAAACAGAATTATTGTAGAAGACTTTAGTATTATCAACCTATGTCCAATAAAGTAGGCAACAAATAAAGGCAAAAGATTTGAACAATGTTTAAAAAGACCACCTTGATAAATACATCGAATACTGCACCTTTCTTTTTGCAGAGTCCATGGAATTAGAAAAACTGTATTTTCTGTTAACTTTAGGGACAGAAATAATACTGTAAAAGCTCAAAAAATACAACAGGACAAATTTATTTGTGAAAATCATAAATAACCATTTAAATTCATAGAATATTAAGATGCTGATTTTTTTCCTAAAATAAAGGATAATCGATGACCAGGTGGTTTATTCTATCAGAGCAAGAAATCTATTAGCATATTCTATTCAAGAATCTGTATAAAAACTAAATTTTTCTTTTCTTTATTTCTTTATTTTTGTAGTGCTGGGGATTAAACCCAGGATTTTGCACCTTATAGACAGACAAGCACTTCTATCAGTGAGCTACACCTCCAACCCAAAACTAAATTTTTAAAAACTATTTTCTAAAAGCATCCATTTTAATATTAAATACTTTGGTTATAAACCACGTGTGGTGGTGAACACCTATAATCCCAGCAACTCAGGAGGCTGAGACAGGATGATTGCAAATTCAAGGCCAGCCTCAGCATCTTAGTGAAACTCTGTCTCAAAATACAAAATAAAAAGAACTAGGGGTGTGGCTAATGTTAGACAATGCTCAGTACTAAAACAACAAAAAACTCTTGCATTAAGTAGCTGGATATAAGGTAAATATCCAAAATCAGTAGCTTATAATCATATAAAGCATTATTTAGTTAGATCCAAGGGGATTTCAAAATTCCTATAATTGTGTATATAAACATTCCAAGATTGAGCTATAGAAGTATATAGGTCCTATATGAAAATATATTTATATTACTATTAAATATAAAAGATGCTAAATGAATAGAGAACATTAATAGAGGGGGGGAAATGCCAGGAAAGAGTTTGTTTGTTTGGTTTTTTTTTTTTTTTTAATTTTGTATTGGGGATGGAACTCAGTGCTTCACCCCTTAGCTATATCTGTGTACCTTTTATTTTTTTACTTTTATTTTAAGACAGGGTCTCCATAAGTGATTGAGGGTCTCAGTTGCTAAAGCTGGCCTGGAATTTGCAGTCCTACTGAGTCACAAGGATTGTAGGCATGTGTTACTCTGCTCCTCTGGAAGCCAGGAAAGTTTTTACTAAGAGTTAGGGTATATCCCTATAGATATTAAAGCTATAACATCTGTTTTACTTTTTTAAGTAAAATACCAAAAAATAGACCAATTAAATACAACAGTACCCAATAAATTGGGTGAAGGGGGATAGAATAGAAGTTCATTGGATTAGACAAAAGGGAATGAAGGGAAGGGATGGGGGATAGGAATAGGAAAGATAGTAGAATGAATCAGATATAACTTTCCTGTGTTCATATGTGAATAAGTGACCAGTGTAACTCCACATCAGGTACAACCTTAAGAATGGGAAGTTATACTACATGTATGTATAATATGTCAAAATACACTTGACTGTCATATATATCTAAAAAAAGAAAAATAGTACCCCAGATATAATCATAGTATATAAAAGGAATTGATATGTTAACTTAAAAAAAGAGATATCAGTGTGAAAGAGGATTAACACTTTTATTTTTGAACAGCATTAACTAATTATAAGACCTGTAATAAATTTATTATAAACTAATACGAATTGATCATGAAATGCAATAGAAAAAATTGTCAATACTTAAGCAAACAGTTAACAGGTAATATAGGTGACCAGTAATTGTATTTATAGTGTTTAATTTTGTGAGGATAAGGAAATGATAATTAAATGTACATTTATAACAAAATATTCTTATATATCAAGTAAACTAAAGTAGTACTTCTAATGGACATATAGTTATATGGTATTCCTATCTATTATTTTCTGATAGGAACATGATTTAGGGTAACATTTCATTTAATAGGTGGGAATATGTATTTTAAAAAGTTCATATTCTTTAGCCAAATAAATTTAGTTTCAGAAATCTATCCTAAAGAAAATGATCACAAATTCAAGCAAAGATGTATGTATAACAGTGTTCAATATTAACACTATTTACAATAGCCAAAACTTGCAGACAATCCAAATATACAGAATAAACATATAATAATAAATTGTTATATTTGTGTATTAAAATATATGGTRATAAAAATAATATTTTTAAGAGATACAGGAAACACTTGGGTAACTTTTTTAGAAAGTATATAAAGCCAAATAGTATTGTCTTAATTATGTAAATACAAATACATTGAAATAGCTATGTACATTTTAAAGATTTCAAAATAGAAAAGAAACATGAGAAAGGATTAAATTATTTCTGGATAGTGAGGTTATAGATATTACCTATTTTCTTCATTAAACTTTTTGAAATACCTATTACTTTTTTAAGTTTGTGTTTGCAGCAAAATTGGTAGGAAGGTACAGAGATGTCCCATAACTCCTCTTGTAAAAATACCCCTCACCAATATCAGAGTGGCATGTTTATTACAATTGAGGACCCTACATTAATTGACACATTCTATGGGTTTGGACAAATACATAATAACATATATATCCACCAGTATAGCATCATACAGAAGAAAGTCCCCTGTAGTCCACTTAATTCATCCCTCTTTCCCTCCAGATTTCTTATAACCACTGATCTTTTTATTTCCTCCATATTTTTGCCTTTTCTGGAATGTTATATATTTGAAATTACACGTATGTAGCCTTTCAGATTGGCTTCTTTCACTTAGGAATATGCATTTAAGGTTCCTCCATATCTTCATAACCTGATAGCTTGTTTCTTGAGTAACATACTCATTTACCTTCTGAAAGACATCTTGGTTGATTCCAAATTTTGGCAATTATGAATAAAGCTGCTATGAACATCCATATGCAGGTTTTTTGTATGGACATAAGTTTTGTGTAAATACGAAAGAGTACAATTACTAGATGGTTTGGTAAGAGGATGTTTAACTTTTGTAAGAAACCACCCAACTGTTGCAAAGTGACTATACCATTTTACATTCCCATCAGCAATGAATGAGAGTCCCTATTGTTCTACAACCTCACCAGCATTTGGTGTTGTGAATGTTCTAGAATTTGACCATTGAATAGGTGTGTTATTTTTTAAGTTAAAAATAAGCCATGTATTGTGGTGCATGCCTATAACTCAGTAACTTGGGAGTCTATAAGGCCAACCTTGGCAACTTTGTGGAGACCCTGTGGAAAACCAAAAGGGATTGGGATATAGCTCACTGATAAAGAACCCCTAGGTTAAAACCACAGTATAAATAAATAAAAAAGAAATAACAACAAAAATAAATTTCAGTTAAGGAAAAATAAACTAAAGTTTTTTTTTTTTTTTTTGTATAGTTGGCAGGCTTTAGTCCTTCTCCTTCTTCTCCGTACCCTACCACTGTTGGCCCAGTGGAGAGCAGCGGCTTGAGATCTCGATACCGTTCTTCACCCACTGTCTATAACTCACCTACTGACAAAGAGGACTACATGACAGACCTGCGGACTTTGGACACTTTTCTTAGAAGTGAAGAAGAGAAGCAGCATAGAGTTAAGCTGGGTACACAATTTATTTCTAATGCAAATATTTTTTGTTGTCATTGTACATAATCCTTAATGTATTGTTTTCATTATTTTGATACCTCTATGTATTTTTGTCTCTTTTGCTAATATAATTTATGTAGTTTAAGAGACAGACACATTTTGTATTGCTTTATATGTAATAATTTTATGCATTTGGAATTAGCACCCATCAAATTTTAAGAAGTTAAAATACAATAGCTTGAGATGCCTTGAGCCCTTTATCTACAGTAAGGTTAAAAGCCTTTTGTATAATGCAAGTTAAAATTTCTATTTCAAGCCGGGGCTAGGCTAGGGTTTATTGGAACACACCTATAATCCGAATTCCCAGGAGGCTGAGGCGGGAGACTCATAAGTTTGAGGCCAGCCTGGGCATCTTAGAACTTATCTCAAAATTAAAACAAAACAAAAGATCCTGGGGTGGGGGACACTGAGGGTGTAGCTTAGCAATAGAGAGCTTGACTAGCTTGTGCAAGGTCCTGAGTTTAAACCCCAGTACTGGAAAAAAAAAAAATTAAAAGTTGAGGCTATAAAATAATGTTTTGAAGCAGTGCATGGCAAAGTTTATTCAAATAATATTTGTCTCCTTTGAGGTAATCCTTTGGAATACTGATGTGACAGGGCAGATTGAGGAAGAAGTATGTATTTACCCTAAAAATGCTACTATTTTTCAGAACGTTTAAAAATTTGTCTTTTAGTATTTTCTTAAAGCCTATGTAGTTTACCTAGGAAAGGAAAGTTAGCAAATCTTAATCTATTTGTAGAGGATTTGATTATTACAAAGTCAATTATTTGAAACCAAATTAGATTATTGAACTGAGTAATGATTTTTCCCCCTCAGGAACTTTCACAGAAAGCACATTAGGTGCTAAAGCGCAGCCATGGTGAGGAAGCCAAGTTATTGGACCATGGCTCTTTGTGTCGCTTGAAATCTCTCTAGGGAGTTTTAATTTAATTCTGCCTGAGAATGCCACAAATGTCAAAGAAACAAATCAATATTATCTTATTACTTTTGATACATGCTTTTTTCATCTTTAGATTTTGAGGTATTTCAAGTCTACTGAAAATGATATAGGGTATAACACAAAACAACCTCTACACATGTTTGTGATTTTCAGACTTCATTTTATTTTTTTCCTCAACCCGTAGAAGTTTATTTAGAAGTGCTATTGTTGTTTGTAAGTGTTATTGGTGTCACTTTTAATTTTCAAGCCTGAAGAGGCCTGAGTATCTTCATTTCCCCCTAAGTTAATTGTACTGTGTGACTAGAGATTCTGATCTATATCTATTAATGTCTGGGAGTTTTCTTTTTTTCTTTCTTTTCCTCTTTCTTTTAGACTTGCTTTTAGGTTGCTATGTGGTAGCTTGGCCATTTTTTGTAAATGGTTTTTGGGTGTATTCAAAAGAATGCATAATCTCTTAATTTTGGTCCCTATATGTGTTTATTGGTTAAGGTTCTTGATAATATTCTTTCTTTTTTTTTTTTTAAAGAGAGAGTGAGAGAGGAGAGACAGAGAGAGAGAAATTTTAATATTTATTTTTTAGTTCTCGGCGGACACAACATCTTTGTTGGTATGTGGTGCTGAGGATCGAACCCGGGCCGCACGCATGCCAGGCAAGCGCGCTACCGCTGAGCCACATCTCCAGCCCTTGATAATATTCTTAAAACTCTTTATCTTACAATGTTTTTTTCTGCTTGATCTATCATTTGTTAAGAAAGTATATCAAAACCTCCCACTGATTTTCTTCAATAAAAATATTCATAATTCTGTCAGGTTGCTAAATGTATGAGATTATATTAAGTACCTATAAATTCAGAACAGTTAATTTTCTGGTGAATTGTGTCTTTTATTTTTATCTTTGCCTTAAAATCTGTTTTGTCTGATATTAACAAATTAACATTAATTTTTTTGGTTAATATTTTCCTGGTATATCTAGATCTATACCTATACTTTAAATATTCTTTTCTAAATGAATTATTACTATGTTAAATGTTACAGAGACTTTCTGATGGCATTATTCCATCTCTCTCATGTTTTTTACTGTGATAAAATTTACATAACTTAACCATTTTAAGTGTGCAATTCAGTGATAGTAAGTACAGTCACACTATTATGTTATGACCTTTAAATTTATTTGTGTCATTTTAGTTACTAAATAGCATTTTACTTCAAAAGAAAAGATAATGCTTTTTATTCTCATCAATTAGGTCATTTATTTTGATAGTTGCATTGTCCCAGGTTGGCTAGTGAGGTCCTCTTAAACTAGTTTCTGTATTATTTTTTTTTTTTCTTAAATACCTTATTTTATTTATTTGTTTATTTTTAACATGGTGCTGAGGATCAAACCTGGTGCCTCACACATGCTAGGTAAGTGCTGTACCACTGAGCCACAGCCACAGCCCATTTATGTATCTTTTTTTTTTTTTAATATTTACTTTTTAGCTTTCGGTGGACACAACATCTTTATTTATTTATTTATTTATTTTTATGTGGTGCTGAGGATCGAACCCGGCGCCCCGTGCTTGCCAGGCGAGCACGTTACCACTTGAGCCACATCCCCAGCCCTGCATTTATGTATCTTTTGACATGGCATTCTTTGAGTACTTTTTCCCCTCTGATAGTTTCTAGTATCACAAAATATTCCAGACTCATCCTTTACTTTCCCTGGCTAATTCTGGAATTATTCTCTTTACCTCAGAAGTCCAAATTTCTTTAGTGAAGAATGATATTTAGAGGTGAATAGCTAGGTTCTTGGTGTGACCACTATTGTTACTGAGTATCAGTACTCTAGGTTCTTAGAACATACAGCTAGAAAATAGCTTATATTTATACCTTAATTCCAATTCACCTACAAAGGGTTTCTCCTAGTCCCTCCCTTTCCCTATCCATAACTCCTTTCTCCATTAGTGAGAAACTAGGTGCTCAGTGTCTCTCACTCATGTGCCCACACACATATACTTTTCTGCTAAAGCATTTGAAAAAAAAGTTGTGAGCCCCCTGCCACTTCATTCTTGAATATATCACATGCATCTTCTAAGAACATGGATATTTTCCTTTATAACTACAATATGATTATCTTTCTTGAAATACTTCTTTACTCATAGACACATTAATCCAGTTATCTTAATAATAACTTTTGTAACTTTTTCTTTACTGACGAAGGATCACATTACATTTAGTTATCATGTTCCTTTTGTCCTTTTTTTTTTTTTTGGTACACAGATTGAAACCAGAGGGGCTTAACCACTGAGCCACATCCCCAGTCCCCTTTTTTTAAAAAAAAATTTTGAGACAGTTCTCACTAAGTTACTTTAAAACGTGTAATCCTCCTGCCTCAGCTTCCTCAGTCCCTCGTATTACAGGCATGCACCACTATGCCTGGCCCTTTTGTCTTCTTTAATCTAGAAATTTGCATGTTTGCTTTGGAATTATATGTTTGTCTTCTATGACATTAGTATTTTGAAGAGGTCGTGCTGTTGTTTTGCAAATTTGGGTTTGTATAATCATTTTCTCATTGTTAGATTCAGGTTAAATATTTTCTGGTAGGCATTCAGTTTAGGTGGTGACATGTCTTCAGTGTTTCCCATCAGAAAATACAAGATAGCATTTTGTCCCTTCCTTGGTAATATAAAATTGGATCCTTTTATCTCCTGTTCATCTAGTGACTGTAGCTTGCCTTAGTGGGTTAATACAATGATGGTTGCAAAATGAAATACTAGAATTTCTGTATTTTCCTTTCTTTTATGTTGACTAGTTTGGCATTCTCTAAAGAACAACTCTGTTTTGCCTCTGAGCTTACTTTACTTATTTTAGTTACTTTGGTTGTGTGTTTTTTAACTCATTGAATCTTTTTTTTTTTTTTTTTTAATATACTGGAGATTGAATCTAGGGGCACTTAACTACTGAGCCACATCCCTAGCCCTTTTTATTTTTTGTTTGAGACAAGGTCTCACTAAGTTCCTGAGACTAACTTTGGGCTGGAGGTCCTCCTGCCTCAGCCTCCCTCCTGGGATTATAGGCGTGTGTCATAAAATTTTTAAAGTTTAGTTGGGTGTGTTTTTGTTTTGTTTTTCATTTTTTAGTCTTATTTGGTTCTTTTCAAATATGTCTGATTTTTATAGAGTGTCTTGATTTTAGTTTCTCTATTTCAAAAGTTCTTGGAAGTTAACTACTGACACTTTTGTCTTTTTGCCTATTTTGCTTGGAGGCTTGTTCCCTAGTGATTTGTGTGGTTTTTGTTTGTTTTGGTAAGAAAAACCTTATTTTTCAGTAGTTTTATTAGTGCTTTGCCTAATAAAAGGCTAGATGGAAATTCAGATGTGTATGTATATATTTGTGTGGTATTGGGGATTGAGGCCAGGATCTTACCCATGCTGGGCAAGTGCTTAACCATGAATTACATCCCTAGCCCTTCAAGTTCACGTTTTTCACAGAAAGCTTGATTATCATTTTTTTAAAGTTAATATTCAAAATGATTAATCAAAACAGGATAACCTTTTATGCTGCATCATGACCATATTTCTTACCTTCCTATTCTATTTCCTACTTGGAAATGAGTTACACGTGAAGTATGATATTTCTTCACATAACTAAATTTTTATGCCATCATGAAACACTACATTCATCATGGCACAAAACTGGCCAGCCCTTAAGGTGAATTGAAATGTTGCCCCATTTCTCTTTCATGATTTCTCATCATTTGTGTGTATAAACATCACAGGAAAACCAATTTTAACGTTTTGTAGTCACTCATCTTAAAACTTTTTTAAGGCAAAAAAAAAAAGTTTCTATTTGTGATTTTTATGTGTGARTATAAATTCTTAGTTGATGTTACTGATATCTGTGGAACTAAAAAAAAAAAGCCCTAGTATATTTGTCACTGGAAACTTGTTTATTTATTCAGTCACTGTGTTAGGTGCTAGTAGAAAAAATACTCCCTGCCCTCAGGGAACTCAGATTCTCTTTGAGAAATCAGACTGATTATAACTCTCAAGTGTGATGAGTACTCTGTATAATTAAGCCTCTGAAGGAGTAGATTCCTAAATGTAGATTTTTTTTTTTTTTAAACATTTATTTACTTTTCTTAGTTCTCGGCAGACACAACATCTTCGTTTTTTGTATGTGGTGCTGGGGATTGAACCCGGGCCGCACGCATGCGAGGCGAGCGCGCTACCGCTTGAGCCACATCCCCAGCCCCTAAATGTAGATTTTTTAAAATATTTTTTTAGTTGTAGATGGGCACAATATCTTTATTTTATTTATTTATTTTTATGTGGTGCTGAGGATCGAACCCGGGCCGCACGCATGCGAGGCGAGCGCGCTACCGCTTGAGCCACATCCCCAGCCCCTAAATGTAGATTTTTTAAAATATTTTTTTAGTTGTAGATGGGCACAATATCTTTATTTTATTTATTTATTTTTATGTGGTGCTGAGGATCGAACCCAGTGGCTCATGTGTGAAGGTAAGTGCTCTATCACTGAGCCACAACCCCAGCCCCTAAACGTAAATTTTTTGACACTTCCTAAAAGTAAATTTATAAATTTTGTTATAAATATAGAAGTGTAATCTGCAGATAGTCTTTTAATCAACACAGGAATGGTAAGTAAAATAGGCTAGTAAATAAAACACAGTGCAGGGATGAGTAAGTTTAGCCCATAGCTCAGAGAGTAGTCTATTAATAGGAGGTTGTAGTCATTCCATTTAGCAGGGGCTTCTAAAAATCAGGTGAAAAACTTGTTTAACCTGTTTATTTGCTGGAGAAATTTGTTTCTCACTGAATCATTTAAAAGTCTTACAGAATGAAACAAGCTTAATTTTACAACAAATATAAACATTTCCAATCACTTATAATTATTATGGTTCTTAAGTTGATAATGCTCAGAAAATGTTCTTTTTAATTTTTAACATAAGAAATGCATGCTCTCTAAAGAGAAGATAATGTTGGGGAGCAGGGAAGAAGAAATGCTTTATGAGGGTCTGTCTTCTAATTCTTTGTCATTACCTAGCTATATGACTGCCCAGTGTTTGAGGATAACAATCAGATGTAAAAATTACAACAGACTTAAATTATTTCAATTTCTTATTGTAGGAAGCCCAGATTCTACGTCTCCTTCTACTAGTCCTACTTTCTGGAACTATAGTCGTTCTATGGGGGATTATGCACAAACTTTAAAGAAATTTCAGTATCAACTTGCCTGTAGGTCTCAGGCCCCATGTGCTAACAAAGATGAAGCTGATCTCAGTTCTAAACAAGCTGCAGAAGAGGTAAATGGAAAATTAAAATGACAATATTTATGATTTCCAGATCGCTAGAAAGTTGTCTACTCCTGGATCGTTTTTTTTTTTTATAATCTCCACTTTTGCTAGATAGAACTATAAATCTGGCACTCATTAAACAGTGGAAAGGCTCCTGTTTTACTTTGTGTACCAAAAACTAAATTATGTTGTACATTTTTACTCTTCATGACACATAGTTGACATTAAGGCTCTGCCTAAAATTTTTTTTTACTTACATTATAGAAAGCCTCTCAGGTATCTAATTGTACTTAACATATACCAGACTCTTGGTTTCAAAATACATTTGAATTAGAACATTTGGCGTTCTGTAACTTTATCAGTTTAGTACCAAACATGGGATTTTTATTTTGTTCTTAAAAGCAAGAAAAGTGTTCTTTAAACTTACCAACATAAGGAACTTTAAAAGATATATTTGTGTGTGAATAATAGCCATGAGAGAATAAGTTTTAAATTATGGAATATTAATTAAATGAATATTGATGTTTTGGAAGTTTTTTTCAAACTTCAAATATTTTTGAAGGTGCAGGAAAGAAGAATGATTTTTGGCAAGATTTTTCCTCACTGTTTATCTTAAACATATGTTTAATAGGTTTGGGCAAGAGTGACTATGAATAGACAACTTCTTGATCACATGGATTCTTGGACAGCTAAGTTTAGAAATGTAAGTTCTGACATTACTGTTAGGACATATTTGTCTCTTCATATGCAAAGTGTCTATCAGAGTCAATTATTAGAATGTTAACATTAATTGTTATTAAAAGTATAATATGAATGGTACATACATAAGAATAAATATGACGTTCACCTTATGCTGTTGGTTTTCATCAGTGCATTTAGAGAAGATAAATAGTATATTTAACCATGAGGATCCTCTTTCCTTTTCCAATTTTTCAGTTGTATTTTCCAGAAAACTTTTCTGTCATTCTATTATGTACCTAGAATTGTGAGGGAAACAATTAAGAGGAACCTTGTCCTCAGAAAATTTAACATTTAGATGACATATCCTTGAAGATACTTCAGAATATATAATTTCATTGATTTCTGTACAGAAGAGCCCTCTAATCTTTGGCCTGTAGGTCAATTCTCCTATATCCAGAGGGGATTAGTTTCTGTTTTCAACCCTGTCCTTTTGCCCCACTCTCTGTAGCACTTGTATGTTCCAGGTTCTATGGGTGCCTTAACCCCTCCTTCACTACAGGTAGCTTTACTATATTTTAAAGTAGTGGCGGCGGCTGCTGCATCTTTAAACAATCATCCAGCTTCTCTCCATCTTCGAGAACTATATCAAAATAACTTGTACTCAGTTTTTATTCACTTACTATAATTTTTTTTAAATATTTATTTTTTAGTTGCAGTTGGGCACAATACCTTTATTTTATGGATTTATTTTTATGTGGTGCTGAGGATCGAACCCAGGGCCTTGCACATGCTAGGCGAGCACTCTCCCACTGAGCCACAACCTCATCCATTTGCATATTTAACTCTAGACTTCAGGTAGCAGCTACTTTCAATCTTTTTCACTGTACTTTATGGTTCTGTTAATATTCAAACCAATAAAAAATTCTTGCTTGTAAAAATGAAAATAATTATTGGAGAAATATTTTTGAATTATGTATAAAAAATATATACCTTATTTCTTCTTAGTGGATCAATGAGACAATATTGGTGCCACTTGTACAAGAGATTGAGTCTGTCAGCACCCAGATGAGAAGAATGGGTTGTCCGGAGCTACAAATAGGAGGTATGTGCAGTAGAGTTCAGCATTTCATTTACTTTCAATAAATCAGCCAAGTGGAAACTACCTTCTTATAATGGCCTATTAAAAACTTCCTTTGTTATCTTCAGGTGAAGAAAACTAAATTACTATAATATGATTTTTTAAAAATGTAACAGCTTTATATAATTTGACTACCATATAGTTAGCACATTTTAAATGTGCAGTCCAGCAGTTTGGGTTATACAACTATCTCCACTATCAATTTTAGAATATTTTATTACCCAAAAAAGAAATTCTACACCCCAATAGCAGTCACCCCTATTTTGTACATTTTCTCCAGCCCTTTGCAAGTATCAGTCTATTTTCTGTCTATGGGTAGGCCTGTTTGGGATATTTCATTTAAATGGTGTCATACAATGTGTGGTTCTTTGTGACTGGTTTCTTTCACATATGTTCTTATGTTCTCAATGTTTATATATGTGGTTGTATTTATCAGTACTTCATTTCTTCATGTGGCCAAGTGGTATTCAAAATGCATCTTCTATATTTTATTTATTCATTCATTAGTTGATAGGTATTTGGATTGTTTCCATTTTGCCTACTATGAATAACGCTGTTGCGAACAGCCCTGTGCAAGTGTTTATGTGGACATAAGTCACTACTTAAAAAGTAGGCTGAGTGCTGTGGTGCATACTGGTAATCCCAGCAGCTAGGAAGGCTAAGGCAGGAGGGTGGCAAATTCAAGACCAACCTCAACAACTTAGTAAGGTCCTAAGCAATTTAGTGAGACACTGTCTCAAAATAAAAAGTGACTGGGAATGTAGCTCAGTGGTAAAGCATCTGGGTTTGATTCTCAGTTCCAAAAAAAATAAAACTCTCTGGGTATTATAGCACACACCTGTAATCCCAGTGACTCAGAGGGCTTAGTCAAGAGGATCACAAGTTTGAGGACAGCCTCAGCAATTTAGAAAGATCCTGTCTGAAAATAAAAAATAAAAAGGGCTGGGGATGTAGCTCAGGGGTAAAACATCCGTGGGTCCAATTCCCAGTACCTAAATAAATAAATAGATAACAAACTAAGGTACTTTGTGATATAATTTGCCTGAAAAATATATATTACACTTATTTACCATTAAGCAACTAGATTTCAAAATGAAAAATGAATATTTTAGCCAGCTCCTTCTATAGATTAAATTTCTCCTTGAAATATAATATTTAGGATTATGCATTAGCACTCATTTACACTGAACATCTTTTATTCAATCTTTATTCTTTGGACTAAAAATAGAAATGTGCATTCCTGAAGTATTTATTCAGTATCCAGATATTTCATATGTAATTAACACATGTTCTTATTGCTTGGAAGCTGGTATTGCTCCATTTTCTGGATGAGGCTACTGAGACCCAGAGAGGTTAAATAAATTACCTAGCACACAGAGCAGTGATTTGGGGTCAGACCTCTCTGGCTCCAAGGCCAGAATGAATAATTTCTTGGTCTTGGTAATGTTAGTGAATCTATGCTTAATCCATTTTGGTGGGTGGGCAGAGGTACTGGGGATTAAACCAGGGGCGCTTAACCACTGAGCCACATCCTCAGCTCTTTTTTATATTTTATTTAGAGACAGGGTCTTGCTGAGTTGCTCAGAGTCTCACTAAGTTGCTAAGGCTGTCTTTGAACTTGCCATTCTCCTGTCTCAGCCTCCTAAGCTGCTAGGATTACAGATATTTGCCTCCAGGCCCCGCTGGAGCTTTCTTTATGAGTTATAAAGATAGATATGTATCACAATATGTTACTACTGTGATGGGCTTGTTAAAAAATAAAATTACGGGGTGGAGATGTGGCTCAAACAGTAGCACGCTCGCCTGGCGGCCCGGGTTCGATCCTCAGCACCACATACAAACAAAGATGTTGTGTCCACTGAAAACTAAAAAATAAATATTAAAAATCTCTCTCTCTCTCTCTCTCTCT